TCAGGACTGCTTGGCTGGTCAATGATGGGACGATCACGCAGAGGTGGTGGAGTTGACCATGATGATCCCTTATTTCATAAGTGTATTTTTATGGTCTCCATCCATCAGCGACAAACAGCAATCTATCTAGTATGTAACAACGACGGAGCTCGTTCCAACAACGAACGGGTGGCGGACTGTCTCCCTCTGTCTTGTCTTGTCCTCTTTCTTTGATAACAATGCCATCACGGTGCATCAACCACACATCACTCACCCATCGCCAACAACTTAACACTGCCAAGCAAGCCATTACCTCATTCCCCCGTCTTCATCTTACCTCTCTTACCCATCATCCACCCTTACAACCGTTGTACATTCTTCGTCACATCCCATTTCATCCTCTTTAAGCTTTTACTTCACAAGTGCGCCAGAGACGCCATTTCCTCTACATCACCACCCTCATCCCCAACAACATTAACAAACACTAGCCCATCATCCGTGTGATTCTCCGTTCCTCCATACAATCCCACCATTCCGGGCGTCCTCAATCCCTGTGGACTCGGCTCTCTTCTGCCCCCATGTCTCATTCGCCTCAGCGCTTGACTAGTCGTCGGCGTCCTCTGCTCCAGCGAGAATGAGGTCCGCCAACCGGCAGGAACCGTAAACGATCCTTGTCCGACTAGTCGACTTTGATGCCTTGCTTCGGGCAAGTTCTGCGGTGTCCGAGGCTGTGAGAATGCCGGAAGGGAGTCATTATAGACCCGAAACGATGCGGGCGTTCTAGCGGGAGTGGTAGCGGGTGGCCTGGGCGTCATTACGCGTTGGCGAGATGGTGTGGTCGGGGATTCAATGACCGGTGCAGGGCGGGTGCTGCCAGTGCTGACGCTGGTGGGTGAGGCGGCAGCCGGGGTATGGGTTCTGCTGCTGGCAAGACGCTCTGATTCTAGGCCTTCGAAGGGTGAGCTACCGTGACGGGGAAGAGCGGCCGTCATGCTTCTGGTAAAACGGACGAAGGAGGATGGAGTTTGCGAGTCTGAAGCTGCGGCATGGGAGTCCGGGGTAGCACGGGGGGTGCCATCCCGATGATGGCTTCCAGCGGCATTCGGAGTCGTGCCCTGGCAATGACCCTTTAGTCAAGCTGAACGGATATCCATAAAGTCATGGTATCATGGTATCTACTTACCTCACGGGGACGAGATGCGGAGGCGGGTTTTGCTGCAGAGGAGGGAGTGGCCGTCCGGGTCCTAATGGTCAGATTCTGGAACGAGAGTTGAAATTGCTCAAAACTACGGGCCCCGTCTCTGTTGCTACGGCGCGCAGACGACGCCCCAGTCCGTGGTGTCGTTTTCTGGCTCGTGACTGTCTGGCCAACCGAGCTTTGGGCTGGCGATCGAATGTTGCTGCCAATCCTTGGGCCGGACCTTGGCGGTCTAATAGGCAGCTGACTTCGAGACGAGCTAGCTTGGGGCTGCGGGTCAAGATCACGCTCATCCCCAGCACCATCAACAGACTGCTCGCAGTTACGCTGGTCAAAGGAAGCATCATTGGGGTACGGCGGCCGAGCAGTGGGGACCACTTCGGTCTGCTCTTCAGGAAAGCGGGCCGATAAAACGGGGAGCTGGACAGGTTGTTCTGCATCGTCGTGATCGAGGATGTCTGTCTCCTCGTCTGTCTCCTCATCACTGTCGCTGTAGTCCGGCAACGATGGAGAGGAAGCCCCCGACGTGGCGTTTTCAGAGGCGCGCGTGCAAAAGGGCCATCGACTCTTGCTGCTGACCCGGCGGTAACCCCTGCGGCGTTCTTCGACTTCTTTCACCTCTGCCATGGTTAAGGCGAGGACGGTAGGTCGGAGACGAAGCATGATGGGCGATGCTAGGTTTACCTGATGAAGTCGTTGTCGTCAAAGAAACAGAAGAACCAAATCACAATCTTGAAAGCAGTCTAGGTTGAAGGTTATGAGGACAAGGTTGAAGACTCCATCGTCTTTACTGGTTCAGACGTCATGTTGCCGTCTTGGAGCCGTTTGGCTCTTTCCTGACAAGAAGTGCTATCGAGGGTGGTTTGGGTTGGAAGTAAGCGCGAAAGAAGTCAGTTAGGTTGGTATGGTCTCGAGAAATATGGCCATGAAGGTAAGCACGAGAGGGCAATCGTCGAAGGTAAGCACGAGAGGGCAATCGTCAAAGGTAAGTATAAAGCTGAGGAGGGTCCTGACGAATTCCCGTCATTGTAAGAAACGACCCAGCCGTAGCAGTAAGGAATATAGCTCAGCCATTCAACAAACTACCTTACGAACATTTGAAACCTGACTTTATGGTCTATCCCCCCATGAAAAAGTGTATTTATGCTTTGCCATGGTGGCCGTGCTCAAGCCGTGGAACACGATGAGTCCCGAGACTGGAATCCAACTGAAAGCTGTTGTTGCGAAGATGGAATTTTCGGACTAGTGGTAAACGAGAAGTGGGACAATATAAACATGGCAAATGACAAACCCGTAACCAGCACTTTTTAACATCAATTCGAATCCATTGAGGTTTGTCAGCGTCCGTCTTTACACGAGACGAGCTGACACGAGAAGAGACGAGTAGACTAGCAGGCGGGGTCACAGGGAAGGCATTCACGAGGTGCTAAGCAAACCATGCACTAACAATTCACGATGCGCACCAGTCTGGTAGGGGCAGCTTTGCCCACCACTAGGTACAGTAATTAGGTACCTACCTGTAGGTATTGATCCGAGAACTCGAAAAATAGTGTAAACCATCATGATGGATTCAACCAAATCAAAAGCCTTCCAAATCATGGGGGATCCCACATAAAAGGCCCGGATGTATTTCATGTGCATGTGGAAGCGGCAGCTAACGCAGGAGTGCGTTAACGCACCTCCATTCCTTATCTATAATTCTAAATGTACCCGACTGCCCGTTTCTCCAAGTTGAGGAACACTTGGACCACATTTGTAGTGTACAATGAAAGTCCATTGGAAGGGTCCAAGCTTTTTTTCATGTAGTGATGGATCTGCTCTTCTTCCACTTTCTGGGCATCAGCCATCCGTCATCACGCAGCTCGAAAATCGCTAATTTCGTACCGTGGCCGCAGCGTTGATTAAAGAGGACAGTACCGAGATAACCGGCAATCACTTTTTTTTTCTAGCTGTCGATTTCCAAGGCATTTCGTTGATGGGCCCTGTCACTTACTCTACGTACCTAGCGCTTGTCAATCCCGCGGTAGTGTCGTCGTGTAGTGTATTGTACTATGATTAGAATAGGAAGAGATACGTAGGTAGGTAGGTAGGTAGCTGCCTTTCTGCCTTTCCCAAGTGGCCGGTAACGTCCGTCGTCGTCTTCCTTGTCCGGCTTCCATGTTTTCTGTGCATGAAGCATCTCGCATCCCTTTTTTTTGTGAACTGAAGAGAGAGGAGGGTCAAAGCATGGTCCGCCGCGTCATGCCGTGTAAAAAATCATGACTGGATTCCCAAGGAAGTTCCCAACACCAAAAGCCCCCCCCCCGGTTCTTCGGAGAGTGACGCCGCAAAAGAGTGGATTTTGGCGGAGCTGCCTGAAATAAAAGATGGAAGTGAGGTGACAGCAGCAAGCAGGTCCCATCTATTCACTGGAAGACTGTAAGGTTTGGTATTTGATGGGCGGGCTGTCGTATACTGCCCGGACCCGACCTCGCTGCCGGTGGGAGCTTACCGTAGAATGATGAGGTGCCAGGTGGATTATGTCAAGTCAAGTCAAGAGAGAGGAATGCGATGGATTTGACACTTTTCCTGTAATTGTTCTTTTTCTCGACTAAACACTTCGTTTATTTGTTCGGGTTGGGACGTGGACTACTACCTTACCTGCTTCTCCATCCGTCAATGGAAAGTGGAAGCACAGTTCAGCTGGGTAGATGGGTAGCTACACTAACACTGCTACCATCTGCAACTGTCCCCTCCCCATTTCCATTCAACGAACAAAGTGCCCGAGCTGGACTGGCAGAAGCAACAACGAAAAAGAGAATCCTCACCGACTTGTATCCCCGACCATCACCGGCGGTCCCGTAACCGACTGACTGCTTATCTCTCTCCCTCAACAGGTCCGTTGAAGTCGACACAGCCAGACACAGGCACACAACCACACAACGGGCGGTAGAGGTACGTACCCTACCCTGAACTACTGTTAGTTCACCTATCTGGAACTTTGTCAACTACAAGCCTCCACCACATCCCCATCAACTCCTGAAATCTGCATTCATACTTGGAGTATTGCTGTTTCTTCTACCTCCCAATTAAAGTATCACCGCAACGCACCGCACACTGCCCGTACCGCACGCAGCAGCAGCCCGCAGTCGTGGCCTTGCATCAGCCAGCTTGAGTGGCCAGCGCACCTCCTCCCAGAAAAAACCACCACCGCGGTCCCCCGTGCCGAACCTCCCTCCCTCCCCCTCCCCCCCCCCCCCCCCCTTCCCCCCCCTGCTTCCCGGGTACCCTGGAGGTTGATTGGAGCTTCCTCATCTCCTTGTTCCATTCTGTACCTAGTCCAGCACGGCTACACTACCTTACACTACCTACACTACTACCAGCACTCGCTCGACAAGACAGACGGCCGCTGCCTCCTGTTCTTCCAATGCCCAACACGCAACACCCAAAGTGGTGATCTGACAAGCCAGGGTTTAGTTCTACCTACTACAGTACCTAGACTACCTACACAGCAGTCCAAAGCAGTCAGACCACTACCGACTACGCTTTTCATCCTTCCAACCAAGAACATAGTACCCTACACTCGCTCGATCTCTCCAGCATCTCCCTACCACCCCAAGCACTCAGCCATCGACCGCTTCGATTGACCGACCCCCGGGACCGCACTCGTTGTACTCGACCCTCCTCGCCCCCTTCAGCCGCCACGCACCACGACGACGACTCTACACTACACTCCGCCAGCTATATGCTGATAGCTTGGTTGGTTTCCATACGACCGTCGCCATAGTATTGTAGTGTATTCAGCCCACCTATCCTTCGCTTGGCGGCGTCGCCCCTTAGCACAATGAACGGAGACTTCAGCCTGTCCCAAGCGCTTGGCGGCTTACGAATCGCCAACCTCGACGATGACGACTCCGTCCACTCGACCGAGAACGATCAGACAACCCCCGATGCTCCCGCCAATCAGTCCTCTGCGAGCCATCAAGACGCAACAACGAACAATGCCCCCCAGACGACTTCTCCCCAGCCTGCACAGCCTGCACAGCCTCCTTCTCAGCGGACACCGTTGGACCTAGAACGGCAGGTTACCCCTCAAGACCCCCCGCAGCGCCCGCCCCATACCTACGAAACCGCCGCCGCGATCCTCAAGAATGCCCAAGACAACCTCAGCGCCCGCGGTTATCCCCCAACTAGTCAACAATTGCCAGCAGGAAATGGAAACTGGCCACCAAACGCAAGACCTACTCCCGGAGGGGCACTACAGTCAATGGAGGGCGATCCGCAGCGGGGAGCATACCACCCACATGGACACGGGACTGCATATGGGGACCTACGGAACGAGCTAAGGAACGAAATCCAGACCGACACGTCTCGGACTTCTCTATACGGCGTGCCCACGATTTCGAGGAGCGAGTCTAGGCGTGCGCCCCCTGGTGCCCCCACACGAGAGCCGAGTCGATCATACCGCCAAGGCCGGCCCGGTCCCGGTCCTCCCATGGGCGTCGATCCCAACGGCGCGTTGCCTCCTAGGAGGAGCTCACGCGGGGTTCAAGGAGGATATTCTCAGATCCCGGGCATCCCCGTAGCCGCGCCGGGCACCTATACGTCAGAAGCGCGGCTGGGAGAAGTACCACCCATGCTCTCCACCAGCAGCGAGGAATGGAAAGACCGGGGTGCGGCAGTCGGCGTTAGGAGAGAGGTGGATGCCGATGGGAGGGTGACAATGAAGCCGGTCAAGAAAGGAGTGCGCGACTTCACCTTTGGGAGGATATTGGGAGAGGGCTCCTACAGCACGGTTTACCTTGCGACCGATCGCCAAACCCTGAGAGAATACGCCGTCAAGGTCCTAGAGAAGAAGCACATCATCAAGGAGAAGAAGATCAAATACGTCAATATCGAGAAGAACACGCTGAACCGGCTGACCGAGCACCCGGGTATCGTCCGCTTGTATTACACCTTCCAGGACGAGACTTCGCTGTATTACGTCCTCGATCTATGTACTGGCGGAGAGCTGCTGGGCGTGCTCAAGAAGGCGGGGACGTTCGACGTGGAATGCACCAGGTTCTATGGCGCCCAAATATTGGACGCTATCGACTACATGCACTCGAGAGGTATCATCCACCGTGATCTGAAGCCCGAGAACGTGCTCCTGGACGAACAGATGCACGTCAAAATCACCGACTTTGGCACTGCCAAGCTACTGCGAGACCCTCGAGATCCCAGACCACCAGAGGAAACACCCGGGCAAAGTGGCGAGGATGACGAGCGAGCGGCCTCGTTTGTTGGTACCGCTGAATACGTGAGCCCCGAACTCCTGACGGAAAAATCGGCGAGCACAGCAAGCGACATATGGGCCTTTGGATGCATTATCTACCAACTCCTCGCCGGTCGGCCTCCCTTTAAAGCAGGAACCGAGTATCTTACTTTCCAAAAGATCGTCAAACTCGAGTACGAATTCCCGCCTGGTTTCCCACCTGCCGCGCGCGATTTGGTAGAACGATGTCTTGTGCTGGACCCGGCTCAGCGCTTCACGGTGGAGCACATCAAGAAGCACGAGTTCTTTGCCGGACAAATGTTTGGCAAGGAACTGTGGAGGATGAAGGCACCGCGGCTGAGGCCGTACGTACCAGGATCCCAGGAGCAGCAACCGCAAATGATGCATTTGGGCGGAGGTGGGTCGAATTCGAATCATAATCATCACTCTATGCCCATGGGCAACCCAAGCTCAACCAGAGGCAACACCACCACTCAAGGGGGACCGGCCAATAACAACGTCAACCGACCTGCTAGGATCATCACCGAACTACCGCCTCCTACGCAACTGGATCTTGACTGGTCACCCGTATTGACCAAAAACAACGAGCGCATCCTTAAGCTGGGCGACCTGATGGTCGTGTCATCGCCGATACCGCACAGCCCACACGGCAAGGAAGGCGGAGAAGGGCATAAGAAGTTGGCTCGCTTCTTTGGCGGCAGTACCACCAAGAAGAGACAGCGGCTTGTCATGATCACCTCGAGCGGCCGTATCGTGTTTGCGCCAGCCGGCGGCGAGGAGAAGAAGGCGAAACAGGAGATTTCGCTTCTGGCTTCGGATTGCACGTGGAAAGCCCAAATCGACGCTAAGGGCCAGCCGGTTTGGTGTGTCGACACGGTGAGTAAAATTACCAGCCCCTTCCCCCCATATCCAGTGGAATATATATTCCCCCCTTTATTCATCAGGTGATATCGATATTGATGCTAATGTTCAAGGACACCCCAAATCCAGGGCGGCGTACACTACACCTTTGAAGAACCCAAGTCCTCGGAAAAACAACACAAAGACAAATCCGACAAATCATCAGACGGAGGAGCAGGAAGAGACGGTGGCAACAACAGCAGCAGCAGCAAGTCTACAGTAGACGAGTGGATCGAGTCGCTGGAGCGGGCCAAGGACCTGGCGCTTTCCCAAAACCTGGTAGGTTCCAACGACAACTTTGGAGACATGTCCATGTCGTCCAGCCCGGCGGGTTCCATGGTGAATATCGGTGGCGGAGGTGGACATCATCACAATGGAAGGGGACATGGAAACTTTAGTGGCGGAGAGGGCGGGTACAGCATCAGTGACCGATCGGGCCGCAATCAGCTGACCAAGAGTCAGGCGAGCCTGGATGATAGCAGCAGTGTTACAAAGCGCAATCGGTTTAGTCGGAGGCAGTCGAAGAATGGGTTGGGGGCTGCGTTTTGAAGGTTGTGCTTGACCTTGGTTGGAGGAGGAGGAGGAGGAGGAAGAAGTAGAAGAGGAGGAGGAGGAGGAAAAGGAGGAGGAGGAGGAGGAGGAGGAGGAGGAGGAGGAGGAGGAGGAGGGAGGGGTGGTGGTGGATGACGAACCG